ATATATTTGGCTTTTGGTTAGATTTTAGTGTCTGAATCAAGATCAAAGGGTTTGCAGTATATCAGCAAATTGTTTTTTTTTATATTTGGAAGCATAACAAAAATATTTTTACCTGAAACATTTTATTAATACAAAATAATTTTTTTATAAGTAACGGGCTGCATTATCTGATCCACCTCCCAACATTAACCAGCACTCTTTGCTCTGGCTCCAGTCCTGAACCGTCCCTGCGTGGACCCTTGATGAACGTTAAACCCAGTTACGCCTCTCCACAACCTGATGTGATCTATTTTCTTTTCTTTTTTTTTCTTRCGTCGCTTCTGATTCAACATCTCCCCGTGATTGTATTAGATGCGGTCCGTAAGTACGGGAACGTCCGAGCCGAGCCCTGGTCTTTTTTTTTCGTCCAGTACTCTGACAGGAAGTGGAGGAAGCAGGGCTATAAACATTTGATCCATCCTGCGTGTACCTGTTTGTGTTGAGGATCATATATGGATAAACAACTGCTGCGTTTTACTGCCTGTGCAGAGGGAAATATGGATCAAGTCTGCAGAGAATTCAGACGTTTCCTCAGAACTGAACTATACGAAATAAATTTAAATATATAAATACATAGAACATGTCCAATGGGTTGTAGTTTTCTTGTCAGCTCAGCTCCTCTTCCACCTTTTAAAGGAATTTAATGAAACTTGGTGGGAAGTATTATTATGTTAAGAAGTTCATGTTGTTGACATTTTGTGTCACGTCCTTTCATGCTGGAGATTTGTCTGTTTGCTACGACGACACTAATGTGTGATTTATTTATTACATTGTGAAAACCCTTTTTTGCTACCTTAGATCATTTTAATGTTCGCTCACAGCCAGCAGGAGKTCCAAAAGAAGCGTTTGCCTTCTAATCGCAGCCGAAGCGTCTCTGCTGCTGCTCCTGAAGCAGCCGTTTAATTAGGCTGTTTAATTACACGTGGAACCTCAGTGTTGGGAGAGAAAAAAAAAAGAAGAAGAAAAACTTTGGTGGCCAAACACAGGAAGTGGCATGACTTGCTGTAAAACGAAAATAGGAACGAGTTCCGATGATTAAAAGTGTTCTCAAAACCTGTTAGTCATTTCAAGGACAGTTTTTATTTGCTGTAATTGAACGCCCAATCATGACACCTCATAAAATGCGGGCTCAGGCGGCGTGGAGGCATGACCGTGGATTGTATGGATCTGGGTTTAAATGCTGTTCGGGACAAATCTTTTCATGTTTTTATTAAAAACGACATATATCAAATGAAGTTTCAAAAGGCTTGTTTTCTCACAGAAATGCTCATTTATTAATATTTTGTTAACAGTACAAGCAAACCCATCATCACTCCACCTTCCCCTTCAGCAAATCACTGTTAGAAGCAACAACAGGGAGCTGACTGTTCCAGCTGCCTTATTCTGCAGTTTGAACAGAAGTAAACATGTTGTTTTAATAAAGTCAGACGCTCACTTTCTCATGTTCTTTTTCTGTTTGTTGTTTGTTTGAATGGAATTTCACACACTTGTAAATAAGCAGCACATTCAAACTCCTCAAGCCTGATTTTTTTCTTATTTTTATTTTTTACAGAGGGTGGGACTTCATATAAAACACAGCACGTAATAAAAACACAATTAAGCACCAGAAAAATCCTCGAGATTCCCATGAACTCGTGCGTGCGGGTGATGTTTACTGTGAGACATAATATTTTCTGTAAGGAGGAAAATGTTTGTCTGTTGGAGCCAGTTTATCAAGAAAGAATAATTTGAAGGTGTCTGTCTACATACACCTGATTTTTCTGTCAAGCTGTTTAGCTGTCCAGCTATCTAGCTGTTTAGCTACCTAGCAGTCTAGCTTTCCAGCTATCTAGCTTTTTAGCTGTCTAGTTGTTTAGCTACCTAGCAGTTTAGCTGCTTAGCTATCTAGCAGTCTAGCTGTTTAGCTGTCTTGCCGTCTAGCCGTTTAGCTGTCGAGTTGTTTAGCTGTCTAGCCCTTTTGCTGTTTAGCTGTCTAGTTGTCTAGCTGTCAAGTTGTTTAGCTGTCAAGTTGTTTAGCGGTCTAGTTGTCTAGCTGTTTAGCTGTCTAGTTGTTTAACTGTTTAGCTGTCTAGTTGTTTAGCTGTCTAGCTGTCTAGCTGTTTAGCTGTTTAGCTGTCTAGTTGTCTAGCTGTCAAGTTGTTTAGCTGTCAAGTTGTTTAGCTGTTTAGCTGTCTAGCTGTTTAGCTGTCTAGTTGTCTAGCTGTCAAGTTGTTTAGCTGTCTAGATGTTCTGTCTAGCCCTTTTGCTGTTTAGCTGTCTAGTTGTCTAGCTGTCAAGCTGTTTAGCTGTCAAGTTGTTTAGCTGTCTAGCTGTCTAGCTGTTTAGCTGTCTAGCTGTTTAGCTGTTTAGCTGTCAAGTTGTTTAGCTGTCAAGTTGTTTAGCTGTTTAGCTGTCTAGCTGTTTAGCTGTCTAGTTGTCTAGCTGTTTAGCTGTCTAGCCCTTTTGCTGTTTAGCTGTCTAGTTGTCTAGCTGTCAAGTTGTTTAGCTGTTTAGCTGTCTAGTTGTTTAGCTGTCTAGCCCTTTTGCTGTTTAGCTGTCAAGTTGTTTAGCTGTTTAGCTGTCTAGTTGTCTAGCTGTATAGCTGTTTAGCTGTCTAGATGTTTAGCTGTCTAGCTTTTTAGCTGTCTAGTTGTTTAGCTGTCTAGCCCTTTTGCTGTTTAGCTGTCAAGTTGTTTAGCTGTTTAGCTGTCTAGTTGTCTAGCTGTATAGCTGTTTAGCTGTCTAGATGTTTAGCTGTCTAGCTTTTTAGCTGTCTAGTTGTTTAGCTGTCTAGCCCTTTTGCTGTTTAGCTGTCTAGTTGTCTAGCTGTCTAGCTGTTTAGCTGTCAAGTTGTTTAGCTGTCTAGCTGTTTAGATGTTTAGCTGTCAAGTTGTTTAGCTGTTTAGATGTCTAGCTGTCTAGCTGTCTAGCTGTTTAGCTGTCAAGTTGTTTAGCTGTCTAGCTGTTTAGATGTCTAGCTGTCTAGCTGTCTAGCTGTTTAGCTGTCAAGTTGTTTAGCTGTCTAGCTGTTTAGATGTCTAGCTG